AACATTCGTGGTAATCATGTTGAACATTCGTGGTAATCATGTGAAACATTCGTGGTAATCATGTTGAACATTCGTGGTAATCATGTGAAACATTCGTGGTAATCATGTTGAACATTCGTGGTAATCATGCTGAACATTCGTGGTAATCATGTTGAACATTCGTGGTAATCATGTGAAACATTCGTGGTAATCATGTTGAACATTCGTGGTAATCATGTGAAACATTCGTGGTAATCATGTTGAACTTTCGTGGTAATCATGTGAAACATTCGTGGTAATCATGTTGAACATTCCCTCACAGTGAGTCAGATTTATTCTATATCTAAAAATTGTTAAAATAGTCCACACAAAAGCATGTTAACAAAATAATTTTGAAACCGCCAATGAGGAAAACATCTCGGAAAAGCTAAAAATTCGAAGCGCATATAAATTTGTTTACGAAAAGAAAGAAAAAAAGTATTAGGGATCATATTTCTAGCGTGACGAACGTAGTAGTTAAACTAACTTAGCATTACTATATCAAATATCATGTCTTCTAAGCCTTTTAATTTGAAATTAGACAATCAAAACTACCTCGACAAGCTGTTGTCGTACAATACGACTCCTCGCAACATGAGTGTTACCGCACGACCAATAATAGGAGGCAAAGCGAATGTGTCGATGGATCGTGCCCATATCTTCCATTTTACCATCCACAAGTCGAAATCTTCTGCAAATTGTTCTTTGGCCTCAGCATTTTGTTTGGTAATATTTGTAGTGAAATTCCAGTCTAAATTCTGTTGTATCCACCACACGTGACGGTATTCTTGATCGAACTGTTCCAATTTCTGACGCACTTCTGTCGAGATAATTTTTAAATTTGTTTTAATGTTTTGGTAACTGCTCGGGAAAGAAATCAAAATATTTCTGTTGGCAATTCATTTTACTAAATTATTGCAGTTTTGCATTTATTTTTATCCTTCGGTACTGAAAACAAAAACAAAAATACTCGTTTTCCTGGTTATTTTAGAGATAAAAACATTTTCTGCCATTAGTAATACGACTATCAGTAAATGAAAATAAAAACATATGCTTCGCGTCAGTTTCAAAAGTGATATTTTAATTAAAGCCTGTTATAAAATATATTCTTATTGTTTTTCTTCAACTACAACCCTGCCGAAAAATAAAAAAACAAAACGTGTTAAACAACACGAAGTTAGAATTATATAAACTGTTTGTTTGTTTGTAGTTAAGCACAAAGCTGCACCATGGGCTATCTGTGATCTGCCCACCACGGGTATCGAAACCCGGATTCTAGCATTGTAAGTCCGCAGACGTACCGCTGTGCCATATAAACTGTAAAACGAGGATGATGAGTATCAGCAAAAAAAAAAGGATATGATAAAGACAGCTGTTCGTTGAGTTTGTTTGTAATTAAGCACAAAGCTACACAATGGGCTATCTGTGTTCTGGTCACCACTAGTATCGAAACCCGGATTCTAGCGTTGTAAGTCCGCAGACATACCACTGTGCCACTGAGGGGGTGGGGCGTGCATCACGAAATCTACAAATCTTATTCAACCAGAAGTATAAGGTCTGGTGCTTAGGGCACTTGACTCGCAATCTGCGGGTCGGAGGTTCGAACCCATCGCCGTACATGCTCGCCCTTTCAGGTCTGGGTGTGTTATTATGTGACGATCAATCCCACTTTTCGCCCAAGAGTTAACAGTGGATGGTGTTGAATACCTACCTTCCCTCTAGTCTATCACTTCTAAATTAGAGAGGGCTAGTGCAGATGACCCTTGAGTAGATTTGCGCAAAATTCAAGCAACGAGGAAACCAGAAGTATATCTTGAAGTCAACTTTTCACATCATTTGTCTGAAGTTAAAATATTGAACATTATTTGTCTGTAGCTAAAATATTGAACATCCTTTGTCTGAAGTTAAAATATTGAACATTATTTGTCTGTAGCTAAAATATTGAACATCATTTGTCTGAAGTTAAAATATTGAACATTATTTGTCTGTAGCTAAAATATTGAACATCATTTGTCTGAAGTTAAAATAT